GTGGCTGCCAGGAGCTGGACTCAGAATGTCTGCAAAAGTAGCAAGCACTTTTAACCACTGAGCTGTCTTTCCATTCTCTGGTTTTACCTTCACATGGGCTCAAGGCCCGAGAAAGATTGTAAAATAAAATTTAAATCATAATGGTGAGTTCAGTGGAATATTTGGTGGTTGACATTTGAGTTCACAATGAGAAAACAATCATTCCAAGTTGATAACATTTGTTTTTATGAACGGTTTTTTATGGTGAGGTGTTCTGCAGAGAGGCTTATGGGATAAAGGGATGGGTGTCCTATTCTCATTTCTGCTGCTGTGACAAAAACACCCTGACAAAAGCTATATGGGGAAGAAGGGTTTATCCTGCTTAAAAAGCCCTGGTTATGGCCCATCATTTCAGGAAAATCAAGGCAGGAACTCTATCACATCAGTCAAGCACAAAGAGAGAGTAAACACATCTTGCTTTCAGCTAGATGGCTCCTCTTTTAGCTGTCTGGACCCCCTGCCTAAGGAATGGTATCAGAGACTATGGTTAGGTCTCCTTAAATCAATTAATAATGAGATGTTCTCCATAGACATCCCCATAGGCTGATCAGATCTAGTCAATTCTTCACTGAGACTCACTTCTCAGGTATTCTGTGTTGTGTCAGGTTGACAGTTAAAACTCAGCAGCAAAGTGAGGAAATATTCTTGAGCTGGCATGTATTTTGATTCAAGGCTTAGCAAGTGGCTGTGTTTCCCTGTTGCTCAGCCATGGGTGAGATTTGCCTGTGGGAACCTCAGGAATCTACCACAGCTTTCTTCTGAAGACATTTGGGCCATGTACTGGAATTATTTCTAGAGATATAGTTACACTTTGTGGCAAGCAGATCATTTTAGAACTGGGCTCTATTCAAAGAGTATTATGTCAGTTCACAGGCACCTGGAGGCAATTGCCAGTTAAGGCACGATCCTCCCTTCTGTGCCAGTCTGGGAAACCTTGTCCCAGTAAGCAACAGGTTGTGTGGACCAGAGAAGTGCAGGGAAGGACATCCGGTTCATCCTTGGTGCAGGCGACAAAGGCATTTTGGTACAGAAAAAGCACTTAGAAGTTGAAACAAGACAATCAGAAGTTCAAGGTCACCTATGTAGTGAGTTGGAGGCTAGCCTGGGCTATATGGGACCGTGTCAAAAAACAAAATACGAGGTGGAGAGGCGGCTCAGCAGTTAAGAGTGTGTACTACGTTTGCTGAGGACCTACGTCCAGTTTCTAGCACCCCCATCAGGTGCACAAATGCCTGCTACTCCAGCCCCAACTGACCTGATGCCAGCCCAGCCGAATCCAGTACACATGCCCTACAGGTGCACACACAAAGACACAATTCCTTAAAGACGAAACAACAAATAACAAAAATAGTGAAACCAAGAGTCAACCTTTGTTTAAAATCACCTCATGCCATTGACTCTAAATAATGCCAACAATAGTACATCCTTCCCCCTGACCAGTGATGTCTCAAGTAATCTCTGTGGACTGAACCTCAAAAGATCACCTTTAAATAGTTTAAAATTTTATTTGTTCACTTTACATCCTGGTTGCAGCCCACCCCCCTCTCTCTTATCCTCCCGCACACCCCTCCTCCCATTTCCCCCCTCTCCTTCTCTTCAGAGAAGGGGAGGTCCCCCATGGGTACCAACCTGCCTGGCACATTAACTTGCTGCAGAAATAGGCACATTCTCTCTCTTTGAGGCCAGACAAGGCAGGCCAGTTAGGAGAAGGGATCCAAAGGGAGGCATCAGATTCAGAGAGGAGCCCCACTTCAGTTGTTCAGTTCATAAAGACCAAGCTGTGCATCTGCTACATCTGTGTGGCGGGAGGTGCGGGGGGGGGGGGGGCTAGGACCAGTCCAGGCATGCTCTTTGGTTGGTGCTTCAGTTTCTGTGAGCCCCCATAGGCACAGGTTAGTTGGCTCTATAGTCTCCTTGTGGAATCCTTTACCCCTCTGGCTCCCTCAATCGTTCCCCCAACTCTTCCATGTGACTCCCCGAGCTCTGTCTAATGTTTGGCTGTGGGTCTCTGCATCTGTTTCCATCAGCTGCTGAGTAAAGCCTCTTAGAGGAGTTACGCTAAGCTCCTGTTTATAAGCATAGCAGAGTAACATTAATAGTGTCAGGAACTCATTCTCTCCCATGGGAGAGAATATTAACTATTACTTATCCTTGAAAAATATGGTTTTTCTCCTGAGAGTTAGTTTGACAGACTCTCATGAATATGGTCATCTCCTAATATAATATAGCCTCAGCTGTATGAGTCAAGTTAAGAGTCATTTCTAAAAGTTGTTGAACTCAAGCTGGCTCTGGTCACAAAGCAGAGCACTGATCCCTGTGATGCTACATAGGCTAGTATTTAAGTAGACAAGAAATGAGCAGCCATGGCAACAGTGAGAAAACGGGGCTGTCATACTTCTGGCTTCCAGGCGAGCATTCTAGGCTCGGTTTTGTTCTGCTTTTGACAAGGTCTCACATGCTGGAGGGCACAGCCAGCCAGCGTGAGTACTCTCATTCTACCATGGGGACCAAAGGATGGAACTCAGATTATCAGGCCTAGAGGCAAGTACCTTCACCAGCTGAGCCAGCTCACTGACCTGAAAGATTATTGAAAAGAATTAAAGCATTTCTTCCTAATTCAGTCACACCCACAGCCCCAGTATTTAACATCCGAGCCATAGGCACCAATGAGAATAGTCTTCGGTAATATTTTTTGGTACAACATGTAGATATAAGATTTAATGTATGAAATACAAATATGCATATATGAGTTAAAATATGAGGAAATTATACTAGAATATTCTACAATATCAATTTGGAAACAAGCTGAGCAGATAGATGTGGAGAGACAAGTGACAGCCAGCATGATGTGCCAACATCTAACCCGCCCTTCTTCAGCTCCTTTCCTAGCTCAATCCTATTCCTTCCTGACTTGGGTTTGTGTTTCTGAGCCAGAGGTGGGCACTAGTTCCTCTTCTTTTCCAACCTGTGAGGCCCTCAGACTCTCAGGTGACTCCAAGCTCAGGAGACCAGTATAAAAGATGACTGCACACTTCAAAGTGACCTTGACTGTTTGGAAGCCACACTGAGAGCAGCTGGGCTAATGTAAAGCCTACACTTCCAGTTAGATAACCAAGTGTCCTGTGTGATCCTCTGGCAGTGATATGCTGGCTGTCTTAATGAAATATTCGGCAAAAGCTATCATGAAGGTGGACTGGATGCTTCGTGAGATGGGCATGAGCCTTGAGGACACAGCAGAATCATACAGTTTAAATCTTGACTGTCCCCCTATAGGCTTCGGTGTTAAAGGTTTGGTCCCAGCCTGTGGCACTACTAGGAAGAGTAGATCTGTAGGAGGCAGAGCTTGATGGGAAGAAGTAAAGTCATTGGGAAGTGCAGTCAAGGGATGTCAGGATCCTAACCACTGCTCTTCTGTTTGCTCACCAGTTGGTGAGCAGCTTCCTCTGCGGAGCACCCCATCATGATTTACTCTCTTGACACAGGCCTAAAAGTAAGGGGCAACTGACCATGGACAACACCTCCAAATCCATGAGTTAAACATTTCTTTATTGTTAAACTTTCTTCTTTTAAAATAGATTATCTGGGGGCATTTTAAAATTATATTTCTCTCTCTCTCTCTCTCTGTCTCTCTCTGTGTGTGTGTGCGTGTGTGCATGTGTAGGTCAGAGGACAATTTGCAGGAGCTATTTCCTTTTACCACATAGTCCTGAAGACTGAACTTGTGTTAGGTTTAACACAAATGGCTTCTCTACTGAGCCATCTCTGCAGCTCTATTTGGGTTATTATTAGTATTAATTATGATGATGATGATGAACCCAGGATATTAATATGCTAAGCATGCTACCTCTAAGCTACAAGCCCAGTCCAAATGCATACTTACAAGACTAGCTCCACTCTGATGTCTTGACCAATCCTACCTCCCAAAAGGCCCTTCCTTAAAACACATAGTCTAATTGTTTCCACTTTCTTAATACTTCTAAATGGGAGCTACAACTCACACATTCAACTATGGGGACATATTTAGGCTGTACTCCAACCGTAGCAGGGCATATGGAAAGGACACATTGCTGGCTGATGAGAGCCTAGGTTCCAGTTCCGGCTCAGAATATGGTCTTTATTGTTCTGAATTTTAGACTCCCGTTGGTCAAAATGAAGATCTCATTCCGAAGGTCTCTTCTAGATGGAATTAGTTCTTTTTGTTTGTTTGTTTGTTTGTTTGTTTATGAGACAGAGTTCCTCTGTATAGCCCTGGCTGTTCTAGAATTCACTTTGTAGACCAGGCTGGCCTTGAACTCAGAGATCTGCCTGCCTTTGCCTCCCAAGTGCTGGGAATAAAGATGTGTGCCACTGTGCCCAGCTTTGAAGCATTTTGTTGTTGTCGTTTGAGACAGGATTTCTCTGTGTAGCCTGGCTGTCCTGGACTCTCTTTGTAGACCAGGCTGGCCTCAAACTCACAGAGATCTGCCTGCTTCTGCCTCCTGAGTGCTGGGATTACAGCATGCACCACCACTCCTGGCACACTTTTAATTGTGAACTAGAGTAAATCTGTCTTCTTTCTCCCTTGAATTGTTAAAGCTGGCTTCAAACTCTCCACCCCCACCTCCACCTTCAGAGTGCTGGGACTGTAGGTGTGCCATCCCTCTAGGCTGATCTCTTTTATGACTTACCTAGTTTGTGGAAATTCATTTTTTATAACAAGGTATGGTCAAAGGCATCCCTTCTTCTTAAAACATGATTTTTCTCTCATTTTAACCCTTTTAATTATGTGTGTGTATGTATGTGCGTGTGAGAGTGGATGGCCTCTGAGGTCATCCTCTGGAGCTGGTGTTAGGAGCAGTCATGAGCCACCAGCATAATTGCTGGGGCTGAACTTGGCTCCTCTGCAAGAGCAGTGCTTGATCTTAACTGCTGAGCGATCCCTTGTTCTTGTCTTCATTTAGTTTTCCTCTCTCCACTTTCAGCCTCATTAACTTTGTGTGCCACACCTGCTTCAAGAGGCAGGAGAAGCTCCACCGCTGTGGGCAGTGCAAGTTCGCCCATTACTGTGACCGCACATGCCAGAAGGATGCCTGGCTGAACCACAAGAACGAGTGTTCCGCCATCAAGAGATACGGGAAGGTGCCCAATGAGAACATCAGGTTAGAGGGGCTTCCCATGACAGGATGTGTGTGGGGTTTTCAAATGTCAGCCTGGGACGGCAGAGGTGTCAGCATTCCCAGGCCCCAGAACGCCAAGCTGAGAGCAGATGTCTCAGGTCCTTTATTCCAGTCACTCCTTTAGGGCTGAGAGGGACACTGAGGGACACAGTGATTCCAAATTGTAGCTCCTAGAGAGGTCTATGGCCCCCACGGCTCCCACAGCGCTCCTCAGTATTTAATTTAAAAAACTGGTCTGCCAAACCTTGAAATTTGGAAAAGCACACACTGTGAAAAATGAAGGTTTCTGATTTCTCTGGAGAACAAGAATAAAAGTGAGGCTCTGACAAGACATGCTGCAGCATAACAGCATGTGTCTCTTTTAGAGGCGATTTTTCTAGTCACTGAGCTCACTCTACAGTGATTTTTTTCCTGCAGCCCAGGCACTGCCTTGGTTCTTCCCGAAGCCCAGGCACTGCCTTGCTGACGCAGACCTCCACATAGGGCCATCGCTAGGAACCTCGGGGCTAGTGTGAGAGTTCCCATGGAGAGCTCCCAAGTGCTGGTGGCTCTTCCGGAAGGAGTTGGTGCTAGGATGTGGGCGGCCCTGTAGGAATCCAGACTGACCTGGAGGAGACGTGGGTGAGGATAGTGATAACTATAAAACATTTGCAGGGCACACAGGGTGTGGCAATCAAGAAGGGCGCCCTCATGTGGGAACTTTTAGGACTCTACAGGATGAGTCCCTCAGCCTCTCCAGGCTCTCTCTCTCTCTCTCTCTACTGGAGTCATATTCTTTGAGACCCAGAATAAATTCGTCTCCTGGCTTCTTTTCTCTGCACAGCTACCATTTTTCACTTCTCTTACTAACTTCAAATCTGTCACAAATTGTTCTCCCTTCTCCTTGGGACCATGTCCACGGGATTTAGAAGCCACTAATATTTCCCACACCTTATCCTGAATCTTATTTTTCTCTGTGTTGCCCTGGGCTCTGTGTGGAAGGAGACCTTTTGATTCCCAAGTACCTGGAGAACCTAGAAGGGCATGTTTCTAAGTATAATTCTGACCCAAACAGAAAAAAAATCAGGCCTGCACTGTGCCAAGCAAGGGGAGAAATCTCTCCTTACAGGAGCCGGTCTGCCTGGACCACCAATCCCCAGTCATCACATGACAGTGTGACAGCAAGGATTTCTGGGACACAGAATTCATTTTTGGGGGGAACGTGCCACCTAACAGTTAACAAGGGAGCTCTTGGGTGAAGCATGCCCCGTGTGTCAAACTCAAAGATCATCAGGGTCCTCTCCTATCCCATTTTGCCTTGTTTTCTCATGACTTAGGCCCAAGACTCAGGATGCTGCGTGTCTCTGTGTCCCAGATCCCATGTGAGCTGGCTCCTGTCTGTCTGTCTACCTTCTACTCGTCCTCTATGCTGCAGCCACCTGGGCTTTCTTGCTCTGTTTGCCCTAGACTACAGAATAGCATGGCTGCTCTTCCTTCAGTCCCTAGAGCCAGATCCTGTGTCCGTTCCAGTCCCTGCTCACATGTATCTGGTGGTTCATACTGCTCTGACCACCTTAGCTTCCCCTCCCCTGCCACTCCGTCATGTCACTCTAATTTATTTTCTGCATAGCCCTCAGCGCTACTTTAAAATGATCTTGTTTACTGAAATCTTCCACAGTGCAAGAAGCTTTTGACAGAAGTCTGGCCCTGACACCGCCTGGCATGCATTAGGCACTAGTGCTTGCTGAATGAGTGAATGAATGTTGAGTGCCTAGGCCTCCCTAATGCTGTCTCTTCCCAGGCTGGCGGCCCGCATCATGTGGCGGGTGGAGAGAGAGGGCACTGGGCTCACGGAGGGTTGCCTGGTGTCGGTGGATGACTTGCAGAACCACGTGGAGCACTTTGGGGAGGAGGAGCAGAAGGAACTGCGTGTGGACGTGGATACCTTCTTGCAGTACTGGCCACCGCAGAGCCAGCAGTTCAGCATGCAGTATATCTCACACATCTTTGGTGTGGTATGGCCTTCCTTCCCCTCCAGCACCCCTGCTCTGTCCTCCACGTCTGTCTCCTTCCTCTTCCCTTCTTCCCCTTTGATAACAGACTTTCCCAGATGGAAGGAAGCCCCAGCTGCCCTGGACAGTGACTTCTGTTTCCATGGCAATGGCCGCTAGCCCAGGCAGCTAGAGATATGAAGTCTGCCCTCTTGCTTCCCAGACACAGCAGGAATACCTACTGCCACCTCTGGTTCTGAACCCAGAGTCAGACTCCTAAATGAGCCCATTAAAATAAACATAGATTCTTCCAGTATAGTTTCTCATACTAGAAAGGCCATGGTGACTCGTTATTATCCAACTGAGAAGCTTCTGGAGCAGTCAGACCAGATGCAGGAGAGAAGGCCAAAGTCTGGAAGAGACAGAAACTTCAAATAATGCCAGTTTTTTTTTTCTACCGTATTTTTCTCTTCGTTTTTATATCTATTTGTCTGTCTATCTATCTATCTATCTATCTATCTATCTATCTATCTATCTATCTATCATTTAAGGTGGTGGTTTGCTATGTAGCCCAGCTGGCTTTGAATTCTCAAACCTATTGTATTCACCTTCTGAGTCCACCTCTCCAGCTCATAGTATTTGCTCTTATTTGCTTTGGACACACACACACACACACACACACACACACACACACACACACACACACCAGAGCACTGAGAAATAAATCAAGATGAATGCTGAAAAGGAGTCTTGAGACCCAGATGTGGAATTGAGGAGCCAACATTCCTATCTTTGATTTTACTGGGCTAGAACTACTACAAATTCCAAAGTGGTAGGACTTTGGTAAGTATGGGACTCCCCTCACGGCACTCATTTCATAGGTCATCTGGAATCACACAGAAAACAGGAGAGGGTTTGCAGACACTAAGCATCTTCAGAATTAGAATGGGCTCTCTTTAAAAAAATTGATCAGTTTTGCTTTTGGTCAATTCCACATGCACATAATTTGTTCTGCTTGCGCTCTCCCCACCCCTACTGTTTCTGTCCTATCTGTGTTTCTGCCCGTTTCCATCTCCACCAGTCCCTTCCTCAGATTCATTAGACCCTTTGTTTTTTAAACCTTTTACACAACTGTTTCAACAATTACATTCTGTAGCAGGTCTGCTGACTGACTCTTTTCTCCTGTCCTTCGGGTAGATCAACTGCAACGGTTTCACTCTCAGTGACCAGAGAGGCCTACAGGCAGTCGGCGTGGGCATCTTCCCCAACCTGGGCCTGGTGAACCATGACTGCTGGCCTAACTGCACTGTCATATTCAACAATGGCAAGTGAGTGTCCCTTTATCCGGACTTGCACAGTGGGGACCAGACACAATTTTTCCACTTGATTTCAAACAAAGTCAAACTTCTGGACTTGAGCTACCATAGTTAGGTGATGTTCAGTGAATCAGAATCTCACTCCAGACTGTGAGGAGAGGAAGGAGCTGGGGTAGATGCTGAAGAATTCTACCCTAGACATTCTGAGTCTTTAAGTCTGCCTAGATGTATTAGATAATCATTAACTACTGCTCTAAAACTTGAACTCTGGGGTTATTTACCTAGAGCCAAAGCATCAAAAAAAAGTATTTGGCAGGAGCCTATGCTAGCTAAGATTCTAGTAGAAATTAGAAAGGACTTTACTCAAACAGAACTTAATGAAAGGACAATTTTCAGGTGTATAGACAGGCTTCAGGAAGGATCAGTAAGGACTGGTGAGGACAGTGCTGAGCACACAAAACCATTCCTAGACTTAGCAGACCAAGCAGAGAAAGCTCTTGCTGCAGCCAGTGGCCGTTTGAGCCATGATCAGGCTCCTTCGGCTGAGCTGTGCCACACAACAGTGCCTGCACAGAAGCTAGCCACTGCTAAGATTATGGGCTAACAACTTCAGCTGTATTCTCCTCCCCTTGGCCAACCTCACCCAGAAGCCAAAGAGCAAAGGAACCTGGGTGATGCAGTCCTCAGAGCTCAGCCCTTTGCCCCCCAGGAAGGCACACAGATCAAAGACACATGGGCAAACACTCGCATCTTGGGAGTGGGGCACCAAAGGATAAGGATCAGTGAACAGCTTGGGGCCTGATGTGCATGGCCTGGGCTGGGGAGATCTGGGGGATGAAGCCTGAAAAACATACATTGCATTTACTATAAAGATGGTCTCTTATGACAGATATAAAGCCAAATTTGAGCCATCAGTCAGCAACTTTATGCCCTTTCCTCAAAGCTAGGCACAGTGATTTCTGGGTCTCAGCTGAGGACCAGCTTGAAGTGGCAACATAGCCAAGACTGATTCGTTATTTCCTTCCTCTTTCTGACTCCAGCGTGTCTCACACAGTTAGACTGGGAAAGCTTATTTTGGACTCTGAGAATAAGGTTTTCTAGCATGTTATTCTCCTCTCTCTAAGTCTCTAGGAACATTTGACCCAGACTGTAAGGAGTCTTTTTAGAGGGTGTGTTGCTCAGGTTTAGCCTGGTAAGCAGAGTGAATCATGTTTAGCTGTGCACAACTTCTAGATGGGCCTTCTGGAAGTGCCAGTGACCCAGGGCATCCCTGGTGTCTGCTGTAGCTTCTGTGAATGTACTAATTGTGAGTGGCCATGTGTTTCCTGGGTTTGTTGGCTTTTCTGCAAGGGAGGAGGTCACCATCATTGCCTATCTGCCTACTGCACTGAAAGTAACCATGGATATGGTATTGGGGCCCAACTTTAACCTCAACAATACATAAGCTCTACATATACAATTAGAATTCTCCCCAAGAGAGTCATCCAAAGAAGCCATGTTTATTTACCCCTCATGCTTGTCCCTGGGACAGTAAAAACACCCCTACACTTCTTAGCACTGTTCTCAGTTGTGTTGTCTTGTCACAGTCTCATGGCTGTACTCTAAGTGGAACACTGAGGACCTGGGAAAGGAAGTCAGTTGTTCTGCAGTGCCCTGTCCCGTGTGCTTTCACTGGAGCAGGCGGCATCTTGGCAGGGGAGCCCAGCCAGGCTGTCAGTGCTCTGATGTCGTGGGCCCAGAATGCTGTGCACTGTTCTGGCTGCAGTGGTATTGATTTCCTTGTGGGTGTCTGTTTTGTCTTTCAGTCATGAGGCAGTGAAATCCATGTTTCACACGCAGATGAGGTGGGTCAGTCTTCTCACACATCCCTGTTTCTCTGACCCATCTCCCTCACTCACCTGGCTTCCCAGGACCAGCCTTTCCTGCCCTTGCCTGCTGCCATGTGTCATGCCCTGCTCTGCACTGTCTTGGCTTCACTGAATGGCGATTTCTCAAGTACTTGAATTTTCCTATTTCCTCCTCACCCACCCACCTGCCATTTGCCTGGCCTTTGTTTTTTCTTTGCTTTCTTCCTTCCCTATCACTCCTCACTTCTTTACTTTTTCCTAAAGTGTGAACCTTTCTAGTTACCATTTCGGCCCCAAACTACATTGTCTTCTTAACCTCTGCTTTCCATGGAATAGAATGCCTATTACTAATGCACCAAAAACTGTGTTCATCTGTAGACCCAGCTTTTCACCCAAGCTGACAGTGCCCAGAGCTGTTACATTTTGGTAAATATGTATTCATAGTGTACTTTTTACTGATCAAAGCTGTGAACATGTGGCTTAGGTAATGTTTTACTTTGAACTTTTTTTTTTTTAAGGAAACGAGATAGTTTATTCTGGAGCTATTTTGAATGACATAGATTTAGGTTGCCCTAAATTCCATATTCCAAAATTGTAGCATTTTCATGAAGGTTTCATTTTTATTTCATTTTTTTCTATAGCTTCACAGGACAAAGAAAGTCATAAATCAAGGCAAGTTTAAAATACATTGATCAGAAAAGCGGTACAGCAAGATGAGGGATGCTTTTCTATAGGCCCAAGATGCTATCTGATAATATCCTTATCTTTGGTGAAAGCTAATAGTCTGCTACGTTAATAAGTTCTAAGAGGTTTCTACCTATGGGTCACAGGATAGTTAGTTCTGGCACGGAGGTGGGCTAGAACTAGCCTATGGCAAAGTAACTTGCCCTGGACCTGCAACGTTCCAGCTGCTCCACAGTACTGAAATTCTAACCAGCCAATCAGTGCAGACACAGCTTCTTTTCAGGGGTTTTTGTTCACAGATCCCCATTCTGGCCAAGCATCCCATTTCGTCCACGCAGATGCGACATATTGATTAAATATTATAAAATCCCTCATAGCTAGGAGGACTTACTCCTAGGATCTGATGTAGATGAGGCTGAGCAGTAGGCACGACAGTGACTTCAGAACAGACACAGAGCTGCGAAAGGCCACTAAGAAAGAAACTCCTAGGTCACATCAAACTTATTACTCATTATGACCCACATCTGAATTTTTTACACTGTCTGTTTCTGACAAAACACTGACATGTGACATAGGACGACAATATCTAAAATAAAGTAATCAAGAACACAGTTTGGCTTAATGTGGTGAAGGTAAAATATGAACCAAACATTTCTAAAATAACCAAAACTTACATGTTTAAATGGGATTGACTATTAGATCCCCCTGTATTTATAGTTATTTGTACTTTATGAATTATCTTACTTATATTTAAATTGTTAGAAATGGAACTTTAATGGGAGCAGAAGAGGGAGGGAAGATGGGATTGAGAGGGGACAAGGGAGGGGGCTACAGCTGGAATACAAAGTGAATAAACTGTAATTAATAAAACAATAAATAAATTTAAAAAAAGAAAGAAAAAAGAAATGGGACGTTAGAATAAGTCGATGTAGCAGTGTTTCCTTTTTAATTAGTAAAAATAAATATTGCTCAATTAATTTTTATCTTAGCTAATTGTACTTTAGGATATTTTAGATACTAATTAAAATGAGTAAACATCAGTACTTAATGTATAAATCATCATGAATGTTGTTGCTATTAGAGACTGTTGCCCTTTGTATAATTTGGATAAGAATAGTTAACCCAAATCTTTGGATATCTCTAGCTACAGTAAATGGAGTGAACGTTTAATTTAAAAGTAAATGTTTTGTTTTGTCCGAATTATACTGAATAATGAGAATATACATATTTATGTATTTATAATATATATGTACTTATAAAAACAATGAAAAAACTTGAATCCTTCAAACATTAATTTTGAATAAGGTAGGGTTCAGGGTAAGCAATAGTCACAACAAAAAAGCATGACCAAATGAAAGGACATAATATTTTAATTTCATTAAAACCAAAATTATGTATTTTATTGTTTAGGAATATATCAGGGGAAGCTGGAGAGATGGCTCAGCAGTTAAGAGCTCTGTCTCCTCTTCCAAAGGCCCTGAGTTCAATTCGCAGCAACCACACAGTGGCTCACAACCACCTATAATGAGATCTGGTGCCTTCTCCTGTATACACATACGTGCAGACAGAGTATTGTATAAATAATAAATAAATAAATCTTAAATAGAAACATACCAGGTAGAAAAATGGATATCATAAGCATTTTAAACATCTAATTACAAGAACAATTAAGAAACAAAAAGTGAGCGAAATGCTTCATCACTTGGAGGGCTCGCTTGTTGGTGGCGTTGGAGGGAGGTGTCATGCAGCACTGTGAGTGCTCACTAATGTGCTCTCAGATGAGAGGAGGAACTTCCTGGTCTCCTAGCAGCGACTTAGAAGTGCCTGTACAGTCCTGATCTTTTAATCAGAATGGAGTTTCTTTCAGTTGATAGAATATCTGCCCTCTGTTTTTCTGAAGACTCTGCAACTAATTTTGCTCTTTAATTACTAAAGTTAATTTTTTTACAATATTATGCATCTTTTGTTTATCTGCTAGATCAAATTGTATTGACCTGGCCTCCTCTGTCATTCCTCAGTGACAGGGTCCTAATGGGGAGGACCAGAAAGAAGATGAGAAAATATACAAGATAGAAAAGCTGGGGTCAGGTGATCTTGCATTAGCTGTGTCTTATACCAGGAAGGTTTATTGAGAAGTACAAAATCTTATGTGCAATTGTTGGAGGAAAATAGGGCAGCGTCAGCAGAAAGCCATCATATAATTGGACAGAGTCAGCAGGAAGCTAATCAGGCAATATTGCACAAGGGGAATCACAGACGGGGCATCCCGCACCGTGGGGCTGATAACTCTTATCTTTTCAGGGAGAAAAGCCAGGTTCCCAGGATTGAAACCTTCATTCCAGCTCTGGCTTCAGCCCTACCTAGACTCATTAAGCCTGCCCTTGGGCAAGGACACAGATCTAGGTTCCTTCTGTCCTTTCATTGGGCCTCTGAGAAAACCTTGGGTTACCTGGCTCTCAACATTTTATGAACAGATCTAAATATTTGTCCATCAAAACAAGTTTCATAATCACTCTTTAAGTTAGGAATATTCTAAATAGGCGTCACTCTCTAAACGCATGTACACATGTACATACATATATGTATATGAACATATGTATATGTGTTTAAAACAATGGCTTAAGACTCTAAAGCAAAAGCTCTGTCCAGTGGTAAACATATTAAATCACAGATTTTAAATGTCTGTGTAGTCAAAGGACACTAAAACCAAATCACACCTTGAGAGAATATCATAGAAAATCAAGCATTAATTTTATCTCAGGGTATATGGTTTTGAACTAAGTTACAACTACATTTTTAAAACGATCTTTTACAACATACTTTAATCTTAACATTATTCTTATTACAAAATTTAGAAAACAATTTTAGTGAGGAAATGTTAAATGAAAGCTAAGGAGGCTATATCTAAAATACAGAAAACATGATATTTTAGATATCTAACAGTTATCTTAACTAAATTTAAATTAATTACTAATAAAATATTCAAGTTATTTTAAAACTTCAAGTTATTTTAAAGCTTGAATTTTGTTGTTATAAAAAGTATTTACTTTGACTAGTGTTTCTGAGGCGCCAAAGGTAAGAGAAGACTAGCCAGGTGCTGTGGCACACACCTTTAATCCCAGGGCTCGGGAGGCAGAGGCAGGCAGAGGCAGGCGGATCACTGTGAGTTCGAGGCCAGCCTGGTGTACAAAGTCCAGGACAGCCAGGGCTACACAGAAAAATCCTGTCTTGAAAAAAACAAAACAAAACCCTTAAAATAGTAGGATAAGGCATCCAGAGCAGGATAAGGTTTGCCATTCATAACTTTATTATTTTTTAAACAAAAAACAGAAATGAATAATTTTCAAAACTACATCATTAAGATGTAATATACTAAGGTGATCTATAAACTCTAGGATTATTTAAAATGAGAATAAAAAATTTTTAGGTTTTTTTTTTTTTTTTTTTTTTTTTTTTCCTTACATAGGCCTGGCCAAACTAAGAATCTTGAAAAACCTCTTTGTTTATACATTTGTTTTTAAAAAGGCGGTAATAATAAAAAATATTCTTAAAATCTTTAAATTTTGTTTGTATACATACCACACATATCCTCATGCAGAAACAAAACATCTACTCTAGAATTTATCCATTATTTTGAAATAAAATTGAAAACAATTTTAATATCTAATTTAAATCAGATGTAGAGTTTTTTGAATAACTTTATTAAGAATTACCAATTTTATCAATTTTTGACAGATATTTTATGCTTTAATTAAAGCAGGGTGCCCTTTGTGATTTATGTTTTTAAACATGATTGCCGAGGACTTTGTTAAGCATGCAAAGCATTTTAAAGGTAGTAAATTGTAGTTGTTTGAATGAGCATGGCCCCATAGGTCATATACTTGAATGTTTGCTTCTCGGTTTGCAGAACTATTTCTAAACCATTAGGAGGTGTGGCCTTCGTGTAAAGTGTGTCATCGGAGGTGGGCTTTGATGTTTAAAAAGCCAATGCCGTACCCAGTTTTGCTTTCTCTTTACCTGCAACTTGTATATCAGATGTGAGCCCTTGGCTACTGCTCCAGCACCATGTCTGCCTGCCTGCCACCATGTTTTCTGCTGTGATGGTCATGGACTAACCCTCTGAAACCATAAATAATCCTCAGTCAAATGCTTACTTTATAATTACTTTATAAATTGCCTTAAGTTGTGTCTCTTAACAGCAGTATAACAGTAACTAAGACACAAAGGTTTAGGTTATTTTTTAGATCTCCCGATTTTCTAAATAGTTGCAGGTTAGGAACTTTCACATATCAAACTGGAGAACCTGATAGCAA